CCCCCCGTAGAATTATTCTTAAGGGTCACTTTTATAACTTGCCCCAAGTAGATGGTTTCTAGTAAGCACATGTGTGAAGAACAGAGAGAATCAAAGGAGAAATGTCACTCCACTGACCAGGAAGAGCTAAGCCTCAGCTGATACACAAAACACCTCACGAATGGAGAAGGAAGGTCGAGTCCCGTGTAACTTGTACATACTAATTCCAGTGATACATTTTTTGGCCCTAATTTACATACTGACTTGTCCCATTTCTTGAAGGTATTGGAATACCATCACCCAGTTCGGGACATCCCCAGGAAAGCGAAGACATAGCTGCAGCTGAGCTGGACTGACCCAGCACCACATGGAGCTCACCCCTCTTCAGCGCCTGGAGAGGGATCACCAGGAGAGCCAGCTCTGGCAGGGGCTGTTACTACTCACGCAGCCCACTGGGCCTATGGGAGCTTAGGGCAAAGAAGAAGAAAAGTGTCTAGGGGTTCCCTTTACTCCTGACACATACACTGGGCATCTGTTTTGCTGGGCTTTGGGATATGGTGGTGAATACTATGGTTCCAGTGGAGTGTGGGCTGGTGGAGAAGACTAGTGGGAAACGCACAGTCCTACCAATAACTTAAACTTACCTTAGAATGCAGTGATATAGCAACTATCGATATGTCACCCTGTCACACTTTTTACACATTTTCCCATCCATCCATCCTCCATTCATCATCCCTCATCCATCCATCCATCTATCGTCATTCATCCACCCATCCATCCATCTTCTCATCCATCATCCAACCATCCATCCTCCCATCCACCCATCCATCCATCTTCTCATCCATCATCCATCCATCCATCTTCCCATCCATCCACCCTCCATCCATCTTCCCATCCATCCACCCATCCTTCCATCTTCCCATCCATCCATCTATCCATTCTCTATCACATCCTCCATCCATCCATCCATCCATCCATCCAGCCAGCCAGCCAGCCATCATCATCCCCCATCATCCTCCTAACATCCATCCCTCCCTCCATCCATCCTCATCCTCCATCCATCCATCCATCCTCCCATCCAACCATCTACCCAATTTTCATCCATTTGTTCATCCTCCATCTATCTGTTCATTTCCCCTCCCATTCATCCACCCATCCTCCACACATCCACCCACCCACCCTCCATCCACCCATTTCTCCTCATCCATCCATCTACCCTCCCATCCATCCACCCATCATCCATCCATCTTCCTTCCATTCATCCATCAATCCATCCATGTTTGTGCATTTAATGTTTATTCTTTTCCTGATTATAAAATAGAAAAACAAGTTCAGAAAATAAAGGGGAAAAAAAATCTCCTCATCCCTGAGTCATAATTTCATTACTTTATCAGTCTATTTCCTTTAAATCACTTGACCTTCATCTAAATTTTACTTACCCTAGGAAAGTTTTTAGGTACCCAGAGACCATTATTTCAGCACTAGAAACTCAAAAGTTCTAGGAATCCTCACACATATGAAACTCCAAGGAATTGTTGCCATGATACAAGTTGGAATGAGAATCAGGTTGTTCCTAGGTATCTGTTTAAGAGGACCATATAATACCTGTCTGAGTAATAAAGCTTAATGTTGTAACAAAATATGGAGCTGCTCACCCAGGCAACAGTTTTAATTATCTGTACACATGGTAACTTTCAGATTCCAAAAAAAAAAAAACGGGGGAACTTTCAGATTAAAAAAAAAAAAAAACGGGGGTGGGTATCACATTCTTATCTCCACCCCCACCTTTTTAAAATAAATTAAATCAATAACAAGTGTGGGACACTTTTAATGACCTGAACTACTTAATTTCCAGGATCTTTAGACATGCCATCCATCACTGTGGTATGGAGGAAGACATCTCTTGAGTGTTACTTCGGTTTTATTAATGCAAGATTTAGGGAATTTTAACAAGGTGAATTGTTTATTTGCCTTGACAGATTGGCTTACAATGCACTGGCTACATCCAAAGCATGATCATTAATGACAAAAGACAGGCAAAAAGCTGTTTACACTGCAACCCAGGGACAGGAATTAATCCTGCTCAGGCTCCCCAAACAGCACTACAGATGATCACACTGTTGTGGGTGAGGCAGACGGGCCAAAAGGAAAACAGCAGAGTCCAGAAATCTGTACTGGTGTTTGTTAAATGATCACTGACAATTCTGAAATAACAAAAATGATATAAATAATATTTCCCATAAAACAATGACCAACATAAAATTTTGGACTTATGATTATAAAGAAGGCAGCACCGGGGGCGGAGTGACATGGAAGGTCCAGTTACGTAGGCAGTTTTAACTCAACTCTGTTAAGAAAGCCTGTCAGGAGGCTGAGAGGTGATATGGGGGTTGGGGTGGCGGACTCCCACGTGGCCAACTGCAGTTCAGGTCCCAGACCTGGCAGCTTGCTTTCTCTTTCCCCCTCCCTCCCTGTTTATCTCTGATGGGTACACATGCCCTGAAGCAAATTTTAAAAAGGGTAATGATGATGATAAAATAAAAATTGGATAAATAATTCTTAAAAAAAATAAAGAAAGCTTGTCAGAAGACAATGAGTACTTGAATCCAAACAGAGATGAAGTGTAATACAGGAGAACTGACCTAATTTAATATATTATATCCAAGAGAAATGACTACCATTAGTTAGTAAAGAGATTCAAAAAGGAATTAGCTTGACCAAATCTTTCAGTTCATAAACACATGATCTCATTCACCAGAGACCAAACAGTGAAGCAGAACCTCAGGACGGTCCCACTCACATTGTCTGCAGCTCCTTGGAAAGCTCTGCTGGGAGGGCCACCCCTTCTCAAAGCTGCACCCAGGGTCATCCCACATATTCAGGACCCGAGTCTCGTTTAAATCACCCAACTTTATTCAATAGGTAAGTTGTTGTTGTTCTTTTTTTAACTGTTTATTTAATTTTGTTTATTATTATTATTTTAAAATTTGTTATAGGATACATGTGCTCACCAGAGAGAGACAAAGAGAAAGTGAGAAAGCAAGCAGCCAGGTCTGAAACTCACACCGCAGTCAGACATGTGGGAATTCAGCACCCGAATTACCTGCTTGCCCCTTCAACAGATAAATTCTTTTTTTTTTTTTTTAAGAATTATTTATTTACTTACTTATTTTTAATTTGACCAGAAAGTGAGAGTGAGAGTGAGAGTGAGAGTGAGAGAGAGAGAGAGAGAGAGAGAGAGAGAGAGAGAGAGAGAGAGAGAGAGAGAGAGAGAGAGAGAGAGAATGTGGGAGTCCAGCACCATTAACCACCATGCCAGCAATAAATTCTTAATTAAAAAAACAAAACAAAACATTGTAAACAATATGAAATTGCATTTCCCCATTGCTTTAGATTGCTTTTATTTTATTATGAGTCTTCAATGGTTAGTCATTTAGTCATTTTCATTTTCTTTCCTTATGAATTACTTATTTAATTTCAAGACCAGTAGATGTTGTAATGGTTATGTTGCTGAACTCCCATGTAGTCGACCACAGTTCAAGTCCTGAACCTGGTAGCTTAAAATTCACACTGGGCATGTGTGTGTGCATGCCCAAAATCCTGAGAGGAGAATGGAAGAGAAGGAACTGTGGAATGGCCATCCCCCTTGGGGTGACTTCTCACTTTCA